GTATCACGGAACAAAGAAGACTTACTCATTCTATTCGTTGATACTTCTTAATTGGCAAAGTTATTTCTTAGGCTTAATCTGTTTAAGCAATAATGCTTCTCATTTTATGCACATTTGTATGACGGTCATGTTTATTTACCATAACTTATTGACATAGGTGGGACTAGATTCAGTGGTGTGTAGATTGCTTCAAGCTTCATTGGTCAGTTTGACTCGGTATGATGCTTTAATTGACTTCATTTTAAGTGATTAATACTGGTCAACAACAATCCCTGGACCTAGAATCAGTGATTAGCATTCACCGGTAAAATGTATCCGAAACAGTGATGAAACTGATACGCATGAACATAAACATGTCATTTCGATATACTTGCATTATTACGAGTTTACCGTAGTCGGTAAACAATAGCGAGGATCAAAGATCCGGCGATACGACAGGCTACTCTAATCCGAGTGTCCCAACCCCCATTGAGTGAAAGAAGAAGACTTGATATGAAGTAGAACCTGTATTCTAAAAACATCCAGAAAGTACGGGGTCCGAGTCCAGAAGAAGGCAAGGATCCCAGACTAGGGATCCGAGTCATAAAACGTTACAGATAATGCATATTTATACAGTTAGGTCGAATAGGAAACAACATTGAAGTCAGTGACATTGACAGTTAAGACGACCAATAAGAAACAACATTGAAGTACGTGACATTGATATCTAGGACAACCATAATATTGACCAGTAGGAATTAACCAATAATTCCTTTAGGATATTGGATGAATATCCTAACAGAAACTAATCCTTCCTATCTGATCCAAACTTGCTCCAACCAATTCCGCAGTCATATTATCAACTACTTAACCACAGATTCAAATTTAACGATATTGATGTCAATTTCAGCCTTGAACTAGTATTTCTAGTTGTCATTCAATAAGTATGATTTGAATTCAATCACACAAGCCAATATTGATGACTTTTTTTTGCCCTAACCAATGCATATGAAATCCGATAGCAATATAATCCAATCTAGTCGTTTGGACGAAAATATGGTACACATTTTTGAAAGCATGAATCGATCAATGTTAGATCACCATTAGAAACCTGGAAGCACTGGACGGCCGTTTCGTCCTGGTATAGGACTCGTGAATGCGCACTGCTGAGGAGTCCCATACCAGGACGAAACCGCCGTCCAGTGCTTCCAGGTTTCTAATGGTGGTCTAACATTGATCGATTCATGCTTTCAAAAAATGTGTAACTTAGCAACCTTCACAACCCCGTAATGCGAAAATATGGTAGCCTAGAAAAAGTGAACTTAACCTGTATGAATCGAAGTATCAGTATGTTTTTTTCTTCCGATCTGCAATGTATCACACTAATGTATAAAAAACTTTTTTCTAAATAGAAAATGCACTAATAATCCCAATTTTTTTGTGTTACAATAGGCTGTTCAATTTCGAAAAAAATGGTTACAATTTAATACATCGAATATGAATGATTACAAATCATTTTCACATCTTCGTTTAATTGATTCAGAAAAAGGATATGAACGTCAAGGACGGTAAGTTGTTTTGTTTAAGAGAATTAATACTTTTACAGAAGGCTTTAAATTATTAATAAGTCTGAACAGATAATAATCATAATCTGGCTTCTAGTTCTGATTGACTATAGTAATCCATTAAAAAACGTTTCATTCTGTATGCTTTTAAACTACCAATCAACTTGACACATTATATGATATTCAACAGGAGTACATTGGGAGGATTTATGTATCTAAACTAATATATTATTCTATTTTGAAGTAATGATCAAAGCATTCAACTCCTAACCACTAAGTTGTATGCTCGAGTCCAGCGTCTAGTTTGGATAGTCGAATGATAGTTAGTCTCCATATAAAGTGGTGGTGTCCGTCTGGGCAGTCTACTTTCTGCATTCTTGTTTAATTTTGTCATGGACATGCTTCTAGATATAACATTATCTTCGTCTGAATTTTCAGAAGTGGACCTTCTACCAGGAAATTCACTGGTTTACTTAGAATATGCCGATGACATAGTTCTACTTGGTGAAGACGGTGAAAAAATGCACAGTCTTCTGATTACCCTAAGCAACAGTGCAAGCATGTTCGGGATACGATTATCCCCCTAGGAATGCAAAATGTTGCTTCAGGATTGGTTTGTATCGGCACCTGAACTAGTGATAGAGAGTGAAGCAGTTGAGCGTGTCCATCGCCGCACTTATCTGGGGAGTCTCATCAGTATTCATAACCCTTATATCTGACGAAATCTCAGCACGGATACAGAAGGCTCGATTGGCTTTCCCCAACTTGCATCCATTATGGCGCAGACGAGATATCCGTTTGCTAACCGAAGGACTAGTGTATTGCGCAGTAATTCGCCCCGTCCTACTTTATGTCTATGAAACATGGCCAGCTAAAGTAGAGAATATTGGTAGGTTACTGATTTTCGATCATAGGTGTCTCCAAAACATTGCTCGTGTATCACGGGACAACCGAGTAAGTAATGTTGTCGTCAGGAATCGAGTAGTAGGTAGAGATGGAAAATCAATAGATGAAGTAATTAAACTTGATCAGTTGAGGTGGTTGGTATATGTGTTACCTATGCCCAACCGCCGACTGCCTCGGAGAGCTATGTTTTGTGGTGTAAGAGTAGGTGGGAAGAAAGCTAGGGGCGGCCAAACCAAAACATGGCAGAAATGCATGAAGTCACTGACAAATGGACTGAGTCATGTTGATAGGTGTCGACTACGTGGTTGGAGCCTACGAGATGATAGTAATCGATGGTTAGAGACCTTGAATGACATGGCTCAAAACCGTTTGCGATGGCGCAGGTGTATCCACTCTTTGTGTTCTCTCAAATCCTAATCTTCTGAATTCCTTATCGCCGTGATCTTTCTCTTTTTAAGTTTCTTTCACTAAATTCTACTCCTTGAATAATATTGTCGAACCATAATCTCTGTTAGTACGTTTACTGCCACTGTGGTGCGCGCTACTCATTAGTAGTATATGACGCGAGTAAAAACGTAATGTCTGGCAGTAGAAGATGGGGGAAGATCAAGAAAGGAAGAGCGGGAACACAATGGGATTTGTATGAAACGCATGAATAATGAAATGTCAGACAATGGATTGATGTTTTGCAACAGGAACAGTCCAGTTCGATATGATGGATTGATATTTTGCAAATTAACGATTTACGATATGGTTTTCCTATTTTACTGAGTAACTCTGTAATTTGCGATGAATACAATTCGGTTGCCCTCACCTGTGTTCTCCTTCACTACACCACTACTACTATGGTATTTGAAGTGACAATTGCATCTCTGTGCTAATATAGTATGGCACACTGAACTCATGTACTTACGTACGAAGTTCTACGTTGTAACTGACTGACTCACTGACTTCATATAAAGAGTGCGATTCAAAGACCAGTACATAGATTAGCTTTTTTCTTAATGATGTATGTACTTATCGAGCATATAAAAGATTTTATTTTAGTTTATACTTTCTTTTACTCCAGGTATTTATCACATGTTTTTGGGACAAATTGGTATGAATATTGGGAATTTTTAGATGATTTTATTGATTTAAGCTCTGAAGATGGTATGTTAGCTTTAGAAGAATATCTATCTAATTATCCATTATTGAATACTACTGATCATCAACCAGTAAAACAAACTATCAATAATGGAAATGGCTTAAACAATAAAAACTCAGAAGACAGTAGTAGTAGTAGTTGTATTGTAACAAACATGTTGCAAGATGATGACATTCAAACGGACTGTACATTTTCTACAGGACCACTATTCGCTGATGATGATGATGATAATGGTAATACTGACAACGATATATTTGCTCCAACAACACCGATTATTCGTGGAAAATTATTGTCCAAAAGCAATTTAACAAATAACAACGAATTATTCAAATCATCATCTCATACGGAACGTTGGATATCTTATCGTCATGATAGAAATTATATGCATGGTTTAAATGATAGTTTAGAAGATAGTTCTGAACAGACAAACACGGATATTCAATCTCATGAGTAAGTTTGTTTCACTTAACTTGTGTAGTTTTTGCTAATAATATTAAAAATATGATAGATAAAAATACCGAATCGATAAAGCGTCGGTTGTATATGAATTCACAAAAGTTGGAAAAAAAACTCACCAAATAGAAATAAGAAGAATCTTAGTTAAGAGTAGTTATCTTTCTCGTAGTATGTAACTGTTATAGCTTGATAGCCTTTGTGATGTAAGTAGAAGGTTTTGGATCCCATTGTCACTGAAAACATTTATTGACCAATATCAAGTAAGGCAAAACCCGACCGTTGGTGCTGCCTTAATATGCTGGTTATGCTTGCCTATTGTAATGCTCCAACCGAGTTATATTAGCTAGAACACGTGTTCCTTTAGAAGCTACCATGTCAGGCAGGTAGATTGAAGAACGTTAAGACTCAAATTAGTAACTCAAGGTCTCGATAGTCCCAGCATATACGAGCAATGCTTCAAAGATATCAATGATCGAATACTAGTAACCTACAAATATTGAGGAAGCAATGCAGTTGTTAGGAAAAGTATAATAGGTAAGGATGATAAATATCCTCTACTCTTACTGGCCACGTTTCACAGACATAAAGTTGGACGGAGCGAACTTCTGTGCAGTAAACCTATCCTTTGATTGTTAGCCGGATATCTCGCCTACGCCACAAGTGACGCAAGTTGGTGAAACCCAGTCGAGCCTTCTGTATCCGTTCCGGGATTTCGTCAGACACCAGGCTATCAGCACTGATGAGACTCCCCAGATAAATGAAGCACTCAACTACTTCACTCCCTATCACTAGTATAGGTGCCGACGCAAGCCAATCCTGAAGTAACATTTTGTATTTAGAGGGGGGAAGCCACGCTTCGGAGACACACCAGGCATCAACGACACGAGATTCCAAAGTCCTAGCTAAGGAAGCCAGTTATCCTATTTAGCACAAGGTTCGAATATTAAAAGCTCCAACATGCAGTTTAGAGTGGGATTACATGAGACCAGGAATAATATTTTGTGTACTCGAATCGTTAGTATTAACAGCGCGAGGTTAAGATATTCGAGAAGGTCAATTCGTAGAGACAAGAGAGTTATTTAGAGGTGGGGGAAGGACTTGGTCGTGAGCAAGTTCATCTCGTGTACTGTAAGCGGTACGAGGGCGAAAGTCACTTTCCGGTTGCCCACACGACGAGAGGGTTTTTCTCGAGGAACCTGAAAATGAAGTGGGATTAGCGTTGGTCGTAACGATCTGAGAGCGTGGCCGCAAAACTCAAGAGACAACTGCTTGAGACCGGTCACGCACAACCTTTCTATGGGACGTTTTACAAGTGTTAGCTCCGCTCTCCAAAAAGACCTACCACTGGAGACGGGAATCCTTGGGGTAAGGTTGGGTATGAAAATTTTCGGATCGACCTGTTCTGATCCTTTCCTTCCCTAGTGAGGAGACAGCATTGCTTCGGATGCTGGTTATCCGAGAGAAACAACTTACTGCTGTAACACCCCTCTACAGTCAGTAGTACGACTTCGCCCTCAGACCTTGAATTGCTACTTTTAGTCTCACTGTTAATATACTTCTGTGGTACTGCTTTCATTGACAGACACTGCAGCATAACCTCACGACCTTCAATCAAATGCCACCCTAATGTCAAGAAGTACTAATCGCAGTGATTGTCATCACACTAAGTCTTACATGGACTAACCAGTATCTGGTGAAGAATAAGATCCAAAGTTACAACACTACTAAAAACGAGATATTACCTATATCTATATATGAGTGAACATGGAGTATATTTTATGTTTCATGATTCATCATGTTTAACTAAACATGTTTTTTTCTTTTCTCCACAGAGAAATTTCCTCTTGTGAAAACTCAGTAGATAAAGTTGTCGTTGTCAGTCCTATTGTAGGACTTTTGAAGCGTTTGACATTTGTAAGCCCAATGAGCTGGTTAAAAACAAGTAATCAATTGGACAAAAATGACCAAATATCTTCAACTACAGACAATATAATCTCAATCGAAGATGCTAATTCTACTACCAATCAACATACTGATCATATGTCTGAATTGAGACATTCAAACAAACGTAGAATATCAGCAACAAGCATTCGAAGCTTAGATTCATCTTTAGAAAAACCTGGTGGCAAGAAACACTCACCTGAAAAAACAAAAACTAAACCAACATGTCAATTGATAACAAAACAGTTACCGCATTACTTCATTCATATTTATAAAGCATTGCCTGGTAATGACAATGAACTGAAAGATTTTAATCCGCCCGAATTACCACCACAAAAACCCACACCCTCTCTTGTACTATGTGCATTAAACAATTCTAAATTCTTAAAATGTATTGAATTAACTGAATATTTTCAATCTTACTTAAAAAGATCTTCATAAAATATTTCAGATTATTATTATTATTATTATTATTATTATTATTATTAATACAAAGAGTAAAAAGATCACTGTGTACATGATATTTTTTTTCTCAAAACTAATTTGATATGATTTATATGTACATCATTATACAATATGAGACTAAAATTTATAGAAAAAATTATTCGTTTTTTTTTTGTTTGTCTTGTCAATTTCTATGATGAACTCTTAAAAGGACAAATGCTTCATATGAATGTAAAATCAAGTGTGTTCTAACACGCCAAATCAAATCAAATAAGAAAAGCATCACTTCGTGCAATATACTACTGTTACGAGTCATCAATTATTGCTTTGTTTGATTGATGCTTACCTCAATCAAGTACTGTCCCTGTAATTGGGAAAGAGTATGAGATAAAAAGAAGACAAATTTGAATAGCGTACAATCATAATGTTAACATGTAAATTTGCATTTAAGAACAATATAAAGAGGTTGTTTATTCTGAGATACAGGACCATTTATTGTCATCAGTATGCATTAGTACTTCATCTACACAAGAAATTAGATTGAGTGTTAGACTTTTATTTGTCGCATAAGAAAAGTAATCCCTAGTGTGAGTAGTATACATGAACGTACTCTGGAAATATCTGCATTGTTACTCAAATTTGAGATTACTCAGTAGTCAGTCACTAGAATCTGGCCTAGTGATCATTTGATTTTCTCTTGATCTGCACATGCAGCACTAGAGCGCAGTAAAGTGATTTCCTGACTCATCTATTCAGTTAACAGTGTATATTGCTGACGAATAGCAATCTATGTAACTATATGAAATGACAATTTATCCTCCAGCCCTCGATGCACAAGGCGTTCAGTGATATTGACATAAACCTAAGATAACTTGCGACATCTTCCAACCTGCTTACGTCGGAAAGCTAGTGGGTGGATTGACTACATATGTCACATACCCCTGGTGGTTCTCTGATTAGTAGCTGAGGTTTATTTCCTACTAACCAAACTCTAGTTTCGCAGAAACATGAGTATACCGGCAACCAAGACTCAAAACATGACTAAGCTAACAAGAAACACTGCAAAAAGATACTCAATGCTGCCAATGTATTATCTTCACCTGTGTTCTGTTGTAACGTGATTGCAGATCCTTTAACAGGTTCCTAGACAAGCCTTTTCCTGAGTGGATTATTCGATGATCACTACAGGCTAAATGATTCCAATGTATCGTTTGGTCCAGTCATAATTCACGTGACTACGGTTTGCTTAACGAATCAGTTGAGCCATTCGGTCTGTTTTGTAATGGAAAAGACATAAGGTAAAGCGATTGTTCCTTGGTTTTGTTTCTTAATGCTGCCCTGGAACTCAGCGCAATATCACAATAGGTGTTAGTATTACGATTACCATCACGAACTGACATCAGCTCTAATGTGGGAATCCTAGTCATATTTCTAACGTAAATTCTAGGACTATAAACCATTCATTTATCTCCGCTGTCTCCTACTCGAGCATCTTATCGATACATCACCTCTACTTCCCTCGAGGCAATCCTCGAAAAACTTCGCATCAAAGAACGAATACTCAGGTTTGTGCACACTTTTCGTCATTAAGAGTCGTTACAACTTGAGATGCTCTGCCAATCGAGGTGACAAGAGCCTCCTCGATGGATAGCTTTAAGAAGAGACATGATAATTATGTACTCACATACGGATTATCATCCCCCTCGTGGACAAGCTGTGCCTGATGCATATCTTGAAACCTGCTAGTTTTTATTACTGCCATCTCAGATCACTAAGTTAATCTATCTCGCTTATTATCTCTGTTTCCTCTCCCTTGCTTACACTTAGGTCCTCTTGCAGAATCTTCACTACCAATTATTGAACTAAATTATTTTTATATTACTTAGTTCTGGAATCCTCTTTTATATATATATATATATATATATATATATATATATATAAACTCACAACCAACTGACTAGAATTAGACAGTCGAGTGGCTAGACCTCCATCCGTTGGACATTACCGAACACCTGGAACCGTGCCGAGAGAACAAGAATCAAGCGGAAATAAATCAATTGTTTTATACTAGCTAGTGAAAAAGATATAGGATTAGAACGGCTAACACTCTAAGGTGCTTAAACCACATGCCTTAAGTTTACCATATTATCGCATGAGGTCACCTTCAGTTGCTCACCACCTACAATGTTCATAAAGACATTCAGTAATTTCTCACTCTTATTTTGATTATATCTATTCTTTAGTACTCAAGACACAATTTCTTAACTGAGTAACCTCGATCCATCTTATTCTTAATTGTTGATAACTTGTGTCTAACTACATCATTATATGAGCAATTATTTATTATATCGCTATGATCTCTTGTTACTGTCTGATGATTCAAAAATCTTCCGTCACATATAATACCAATCTATAATAATGTTTATTTGTCTAAAATTTCACAACCTGACATCATGATAAATACCTATTTTCATTGTTATAATAATGTGACTTTACACTAGCCCTGATTTTTAAAACATCATTGGTTTTAGGTAAATGATTAGAACCTTACGAAACTTATAGATTCATAATATTCTGCTGAATTCGTTGTTTTCGCTTTCTTCAACATCATTATCTGACTTACTTTGCTTGAGCAAAGTGAGATAATTGTATGATTAAACAAGTAAAAATTCAGGAATTACTCATGGCCTCCGATAGTTTTTTAACATTAACTATCCCTATTGTTTATATAAGTGTATAAGTCAGAAACACACCAGTTTGGTATAATTTGATGAGCACGTACAATTACAGAGGTAGTACCGTCAACGTCGTACAACGCGCAAAAACCTCAGAATTACGAGACGAGCAAGCGTACATCGACTGGTTTTTCTGAGATTCCTAGAAGATTGCTGTCTCATATGAGGCATTCCTTCACCTGTACTTTACATTAGTCTAGCCACTTAACAGAACTTGTAATAGTCAATTTGGTAGTTATTTTTGCGTTTGGAATCTGATTCCAATGTGCAGTAAACTGAATGATTGCTTTGGGTTGGATTCTTGTTCTTCCGATACGGTTCCAAGTATTTGATAGTGTCCACTGGAATGTACTGATTCTAGTCAGTCGATAGTTTTTTATGAATTACGGTGTGTAATTATTTGAGTGAATGCGCTTATATTCGGACAAGAGGGATTCTGAATGCCAGCAGCTAGCACATTACCGCGACAGGGGTCATTCAGTTACAAAGTTAGGGATAATAAGGGGAAATTCTAGTGCTAAGGAGAAGATTTCAAAAGTAAGTAAATAAATGGATAATTAAGTTAATTAATTGGTGGTGAAGTATGTGCAAGAGGACAGGATTGTAACCAATGGAGAGGAAACGGAAAGAGAATTAGCTAGTGATCCGAGGAAAGGGAAATAATAACAAATTTCAAGATCCGAAAATGCCCTGCAACTTATCCAAAGTGATCCAAAAATCAGTACGAAGACTCAAATTTAAACCTTACGAAGAACACTTCCTGTCACTGAACTCAGAATCGCAAACACAGTGCATGCTTATAAATACTGGTTAAGGCTCAGAGCACTTCAGGTCCCTAGATCATCAGCTGTTAGAATGTATCGATTATAGGTTACCCATTCATGACTCAAAAAATCCCAAACAGTCCTGTGCATCCCTCAGTACTAAGTTCGAGGAAAATATCCAGAAACTGAAGACGAAACAAAAAAATGGACTGTAGTTACACCTTGTACTCATTACGAATAGAGAAATTCTGGAATACACTATAAATGAGGTGGTTGAAGTGACTTCCCAGGAGTAGTTTACGAAGAAAACCGATTTAGTCCTAAAGGTTTATGACAGTATTTTATCATCATTTGCCAATATTTCTTCACTCATTTACTACACCTAGGTTCCTACCTGGAAGCGTTCATCATCCCCCATAACAGATAAGGAAGCTCATAAAACGATGGCGGCTTCTTTACCATCCACAATTATTTGAACAATTTTAACCTGCCTTTTACAGACCAGCTGCACTTCTGTCATTACTATCGAAGGTAATGGAAGTGTTCGCGAATAACTAAGGAGTGAGTACATAGGTAACAACAACATACTCCATGAAGCTTGATACGTCTTTAGGAAGGTTAAGTCAAGTGCATTCAATCTTTTTACAAAGTAGGACAGCTGGGCAACCTGCTGAGGGCGAAATATACCCCTTCACACAATATTTCTTGACTCGTGACTGCTTTCAATACAATACCTCAAGTATTCATTATTGTGAAGGAATCGAGGATGGGCTTTACTGATCCACTTCTATATTGGCTCAGAAACTGCCTAGAGAACGAAAAGTTTCGTACCCAGGTAAACCGAATGCATGCGATGTGGTGGGTCTCAAAATCAGGGGTTTCTTATTTGCTATTAATTTGTTTAACTACATCAATATATAATCATTTAATTATTATATTTTATAGCCTGTTCAAGTGTACATGAATTTCATTTAGTAACCAGCGTCAAGTGCCACAGTTTTCATTTAAGTGGAAGCCTTAACTTTTGTGGTGTATGTTATTTTCAATCAACAATGTCAGGAACCCCGTTGTGACATGTAAGTAAAGCGGAAGTGATCCTCAATTTTTGCTGTTTGATGTACAGATTTTCGCGAACTTCTCTGAGGTGCATAGTGGTGATGTTCTTGTAAAAACGACGGAGTTAGCTTACTTCATATGTAATGTCTATAACAGATCACTTTTCCTTCTATAGCTCAACGTGTATGATCCGAAGCATTGGAGACGGTTTTTGTAAGCCTTATTTCTCAACCATATCACCAAATTTACTGCCCATGACTGTGACTGTACCAAGAGATTTGTGCATCTTTTGAGGATGGGAGAAGCAACGACACTTGCAATCTCAACGTAGGATTAACTGTACATTTTGAAAGTGTTGTGATCAGTGAATGCAGGAACTGGTCATACACCGGTGAACTAAGGGCTTCTCCACGCTGTTTTAAGTTTATGGGGCGAGTATTGTCACATCCTGATAACTTTTCTCGGAGCTGGGATTTGAGT